GGGTTACTGGGGTCATTGGGGGTCATTGGGCATCATTGGGGGTCATTGGGTCATTGGGGTCATTGGGGTCATTGGGGGTTACTAGGGTCGTTGGGGGTCATTGGGGGACATTGGGGGTCATTGGGGTCATTGGGGGTCATTGAGGTTGTTGGGGGTCTTTGAGGGTCATTGGAGGCCACCATGTCCCCATGGCCACCGTGTTCCCACGATCAACATGTCCCCATGGCCGCCTCCCCATGGCCACCATGTCCCCATGGTCACCACGTCTCTGCCACCACCATGTCCCTGCCATTGGGTCCCCCATGTCCCCACCTTGGTGGTGTCCCCATGGCCACCGTGTCCCCATGGTCTCCATGTCCCCATGGCCACTGTGTCCCCATGGTCCCCATGGCCACCATGTCTCTGCCACCACCATGTCCCCACCATTGGGTCCCCCATGTCCCCACCATGGTGGTGTCCCCATGGTCACCATGTCCCCATGGTCACCGTGTCCCCGCCATGGTGATGTCCCCACAGCCACCTCCCCATGGTCATTGTGTCCCCCCCTCTGTGTCCTGGTGGCACTGCTGTCCCCGTGTCCCCATTCTGTGTCCCCATGTCCTGGTGACACTGCTGTCCCCGTATCTGGTGACACTTCTGTCTCCATGTCCCCATTCTGTGTCCCCATGTCCTGGTGGCTCTTTTGTCCCCGTGTCCCCATTCTGTGTCCCCATATCTGGTGCCACTGCTGTCCCCATGTCCCCATTCTATGTCCCCATGTCCTGGTGGCACTGCTGTCCCCATGTCCTGATGACACTGCTGTCCCCATGTCCTGGTTACACTTTTGTCCCCATGTCCCCATTCTTTGTCCCCATTTCCCATGTCCTGGTGGCACTTTTGTCCCCATGTCCCCATTCTTTGTCCCCATGTCCCCCATATCCTGGTGACACTTTTGTCCCCATGTCCCCATTCTATGTCCCCATGTCCTGGTGACACTTTTGTCCCCACGTCCCCATTCTGTGTCCCCCCACAGGAGGAGCCCCCAACCAAGAAGAAGCGCTCAGAGTCATCGGGGCCGTGGGCGGGTGGGTGA